TGTGCTGCATGCTCATGCTGGCCTATGGAAGCAAAGGGGAATGCTGACAGCCCAAGGCTCCCCAGTCAAGTATGGGCCCCAAATCCTCCAGCTCCTAGAAGCCGTACAACTTCCCTCGGAAGCGGCGGTGGTACACTGTAAAGCCCATCAAAGGGAGGATCAAGATGTGGCCAGAGGTAACGCCCGGGCAGATAGAGAGGCTAAGCATGCTGCCACCCTGCCATCCCCTCAGATTGAGAACACCCATATGCATGCCCTTATACCATCAGTAGGGGAGCTTCCAACCCCTCAGTACTCTGGGGAGGAGAGATAGCTAACTGAAAAACTCGGTCTCCGGGAAAAGGAGGGATGGCTCCATTCCCTGGAAAGGAAGGTCCTCCTACCAAAGGGCCTGATCCGGCCAGTGCTGCAGAAACTGCATCAAACCACTCATGCTGGCAGGGAAGCACTTATCCAGCTAATGGGAAAATACTTTATCACTTCCGGACTCCGACCCCTGGCTGCCCAGGTACAAGCGGACTGCGTAGTCTGCCAAAAGAATAACCCCCGACTGGGACATCCTGTGCCACCAGCTGACCTAGAACCCACTCCGGGCCCCAGACAAGTGTGGCAAATAGACTTTACTGAGTTTTCCCCGGACCCAAGCATTCAAATATCTCCTTGTCATAGTGGATCGGTTCAGCGGATGGCCAGAAGACTTCCCATGCTGTAATTGCACTGCCAGAACAGTGGCCCCCAAGTTTGTTAAGGAGATCGTTCCTCGCTTTGGACTCCCCCCGTGGATGGAATCTGACAACGGGACACACTTCACGTCAAAAATCATTCAAAGCATCTTACATGCCTTACAGATCCCCTGGAAACTCCATACGCCCTGGAGACCGCAAGCCAGTGGTGTAGTGGAGCGTACCAATCAGACCCTTAAACGGCATCTCTCAAAAGTGCGCCAAGAAGCCTCACTGCAATGGCCTGATGCTTTGCCCCTCGTCCTACTCCGTATCCGCGTTCTCCCAAAGGGTAGATTAGGGCTTAGTCCCTTTGAAATTATGTTTGGAAGGGCATGGCCTATGAATGGCATCCCGGTTCTGTCAGGGGAATGGGAGCTTGGTAATGGTTTTTTGTCACAGTATATGTGTTCCCTGTCTGCTGTTCTCTTCTCTCTTCACAGGTACACCAAGGATTCCCAGCCTCTCCCCTTGGACTCTCCCATCCACTCCTTACAGCCCGGTGACTCTGTGCTTGTTCGTACCTGGAAAGACGAGCCTCTCCAGGAAACGTGGAAAGGACCCTATACCGTCCTGCTGGTCTCCCATACAGCGGCAAAGATCGAGGAACACAAGAACTGGATCCATCACTCTCGTCTGAAGGCAGTACCCGCCCCCTCGTCAGCAGAACAGTGGACCGTCCAACCTGCTGACTCATCATCTAGTGACGATCTCGGGCTAAAGCTACTGTTTAAGAGACACAAATAGCGGGCACCTTTACGCTAAAATTTGCCCAACCAGGTACTAGAGACCCTGGGTTGGGAAGACTCTGGTGATAATTAATTGGGTAACATTGTTATTCTCTGTATTGTTATTTCCAAACTGTGCATATCAGGAGCATAACTCCTTTGTTTCGCTTGCGCACCATGTTGCTACTTTAACAAACCAGACTGATTGCTGGGTATGTGCTCCAACTCCACTGTCCCCCAAAACGGGAATGCCCCTTGACATGCTGCCCTTGACCCTAGCAGAATTAGCCGCCACCAAAGCGCAGGAAAGAACGGACTCGCCATTCTGGAATAAGACCTCTTTACAGCAAGCCACCTATCAGGACCAGGAGTATTCAGTTGCAGTACTCACTGAGGGAGTGTTATGTTTTACCCGAAACCAGTCTGATCACTGTGGTCGTCCTGTGGGAAAAAGCTCCTGTGTTATTACACAGTGGGCTGATGGGTATTGGATAAAGACCAAATGGGGAGGCCAACAGTGTGGGTGTAATGGTTCCTCCCCTTTTAGGAAAACTCTTACAAATACTCTTACCACAAAAGAAAGGTTTGGAAATATAACTTGCCGTCCAGTTAATATCTCCAATGTAGCAAGCCAATGGTGGGTTTGTAGTGGTCCCTATGGCGAGTGTAATTTGAACGGCACAATTAGAAACGCCCCCACTTGTACCCAATCAGGAGGATGGGATGCCCCCTTAGGGGCATATGAACTGTTTGGAAAGGCAGCCAAAGCAGCATTAAATATCCCAGGAATCCCCTTAAGAAACAGTCCTTACTGGGCCCTACAGGGTCACTATTTTGTATGTGGCCAAAAGGCTTACAAGGTGCTGCCAGCCAATTGGACAGGTAGCTGTTATATAGCTCATGGAGTTCCTCATCTTTCCATAACTGCCACACTGCCCAAAGGAAAGATTAGAAATGCCTGAGACACCCCTGCTGAGTCACAAGAAAAGACCCTGCGGCGACTGACTACGGCATTGGAGGGCAATATGAAGAATTCCCTCACAACCGAGAAGCTTGTAGGGTGCTCTGTACTGGGAATAGCGCCACAGTTTACCGGGCCAGCCACGGCACGCATTGGCCGCAATACTGTAAGGCTGCAAATGGTACTTGAGAAAGTTGCCTTAGAGTTGAAGGACTCGGTTAGTGATTTAGGGTCAGCAGTAAAAACGTTAAATAAAGAGGTACAGCAGCTCAGGACGTTTTCCTTCCAAAACAGGCTGGCTTTGGACTATCTCTTGGCATCCCAAGGAGGGGTTGGTGCCCTCGTCGGTCCCCGATGTTGTGTATATGTAAATGATAGCAGTTATGAGATCTATGAAAAGGTGGTACAGGCTGAGGCCCATGCCCGAGCCGGAGCACAGGTTGCCTATACTGCCCCAGAGAGCGATTGGTTGCAAACCTTGTTTTTAGGCTGGGGTTTGTCATCTTGGCTTGGTGGTTTATTTAGCCTGTTATTGAAACTCCTCTTTCCTGGATTGCTTGTATTACTGGTATTATGCTGTGCAGTATCATGTGTTAGGGCCCTTCTGCAGAAGTTAATAAGTCATTCTCTTCAGGGCTATCACAAAGTGCTTATGCAAAGTCCTATTGTAAAGAAATAAGTAGCCCAACTGAGAAAACTCAGAGCCAAGGTTGTTGAGTGTTCTCAAAGGAGGGAGTTGTTGGAGGCACTGGGGCATGGCCACTAGGTAACTCGAAGGCATGGAAGACCACGAGTGTCGATGAAGCCCCCTCGCACTAGGCCCAAGTGTCCTTGCCCCCCCCCCCCCCAACTGGAGGCACTCACAGCAGCTCTGCGTACTATGCCCAAGTGTCCTTGGCCCCCCCCCCGCCTGGAGGCACTCACAGCAGTTATGCTGAGGATCTGCAAAAATAAGTCGCAGAGTCAGACTGCCTGAAACTAAGCAAGGCCGAACAGGGCAGATATGGAAGAACAATGCTGAATAAAGCAGCTTTATGTATGGTTTAACAAATGATACAGAGAACAAGGGAACTAGCTGGGAACTGGATTGGCTGGCTATATGGATACTTAGGGCAGCTTGCTATTGGATAAGTATGCTGGAAAAAAGGATGTATAAAAGCCTGTGTAACTTCCTGCTCTGGGTGCAGGATTTGAGATCTTATTCTCCCTGTACCTTTTTGCAGCTGCAAATAAACCTTTCTGCTTCTCCACCCCGTTGTGATTATTGGGTGTAGCACACCGGGTAGCGAACCAACCCCAGCTGTCGTTTAGCCTCTCAGCACTGGGTGCCGGCAACACCCAGATATTTGAAAACATCTCGGAAATCCTTAACGCAAGCCACATTACAAGATTCATTGCTGAGCATCCCCACATTCGTCACAACTGGAAATAACAGAAGCAAAGAAGAAAGTTTGGTACTTCCCCCACTTTCGGTGTTTGTCGACCGCCCTATCTTCTCAATTCTCTCTCTCTCGCTCTCTCTCTGCCGTAGATACTGAAAGTAACTTCAATTGCACAAAATGCACCAATAAGTCTTTCTTTCCCCCTCAAGCATGGCATATAAACAACCTTCATAAAAGCATAGACCACAAAATATATCCAAGAAAAATCACCAGGTGAAAAACTTCTGTTTAGAACAGTCTCCAAATGTGAAATGCCACTCAAACCTCATCGGCAGACATCTCTGAAGCATCTTATATATTCATAAAGGCCTCATCAGCACTGTTGACAGCATGTCAAAGAATGTGTTTAACTTCAAAGCATGCAAAACAGCTCACTTCAAAGTCAAAATCAAGCAAACTGTTCTTTCTCTAAGCTCAAATATACTGCAGCTGGGGATTTCTCAGATAAAGGAAAATAAAGTTTTTAAGGTAAATGGCCCACATATTGGAAACCTGAAGACACTGAGTAAGTTATAAGACAGAATAATGAGACTGTCACTTTTGATGCCAGCCCTAAATATTTTATATAAATTTCTATTATCTGAACTATGAGAACAATTAACCAATTCTTTGACTTAGCATTAACCCACCACTAAAAAGGGTACTACTTCAGATGTATGCAGGTAACAGAACTTCCATATACGAAAGTTACTGAATTTAATTTTTTTTTAAAATCAATTTTTAGCTTAAGTGTTGTTCTCACTGAAGAGTATTGGAAATATTCAACCAGGGAGAGTCACAGTAGGCAAAGGATTATTAGGATTTCTGAACTTTTCCAGGGCTTGCTTACCTCTTGGGAGAATTTTAGTTTGTTGCTCAATAAGAGCTGCATTGGCAGGTGGATAGCTTTCAGAGCTCTATAGGAACATGGGTATATTCACACTAACATGACTATTAGGCTATGTTTGGGAGGCTCTGGGAATTCCACAACCAAACTCAAGTAGATTCTACTATTGTCCTGTAGATTAGCAATTGTGTTTTGGGATGCTAATTTTTTTGTTTTGTTTTGTTCCCCCTACATTTCTCCTGTTTAGTTTTCTATGACGCACAATCAAACCTAATTTAGATCCATCAGTTCAGACTAGCACAAAAATCATGGAAATTAAAATTAATGATCAAAGAATTTATTTTTATGTCCAAAATCAACGCCAAAGACAATCTGAATAACTACAAGTCGAATATATTGTACACAAAGCAATACAAAACATTAGCTTATAAAACAAGTGTTGCAAGAGCATATTTCAAAAGGTCCCAATCACAACAGATGCCAATGGTGGTGCCTTTATCCATTCCTGAAATGAGGTATATGTGCGCATCATTCTTACTATACACCTGAGCAACTTTCTCACCATGTAGATGTTTATTAAAAACAGACTAGAGTGCAGATTTGTGTTCTTATGTATTTTTGTGTAGGGCATGGCTCAAGGGTCACAGCTGGCAAAGTTGGTTATTACTTAACTATTCCAGCAAGTTACAGGAGGGGCAGTGTCGAACATACAATTACACTATTGGGAAATACATCCGCTGGTTTCTAGCACTGTTAATTTCTCTCTAGATGCCTGGAATACTTGCCAATAGTGCAGTGTGCTGAACTAAACAGAAACACCCATGCATAAATCACTGGTCTGTAGGTGCATTTCAAGCAACCAACAAAGGAAAGTCATGGAGAAATGACAGATCAACTAACAACGAGAATAAGGAGATGAAATATAGTGCTTGCTGACACAGCAGAATTAGTGCTAAACTTAGAAGTTTATTATTTATTCACTTTTTAGTGACACACATGAACAAAGGGACCTTTCTGAGACAGATTTCTCCCACCGGTATTTAAATGGCCAATCAATGGCAAAACTATCTAGTGGGCCTCATCTCCTCAGGAAGATTACACATCACTACCATTAGTGCAAGTGAGAACCCTGTGCAGGAACGGATCGCTACATGGTTTAGAACCAGAGTTCCTTACAATTCCAAGCAAAATGGCAGAAACATTAAACCTTTTGCCTCTCCCAATAAGAAGAAAACACCACACACAATTCTGAAAATACACATTACTGTATGCAGATACTGCAAAGAAATTCACCTAGGGCTTTATATGCTTTGCAGTTTACTAGAGTATCTAGATTAACCTTGAGCTTCGTTTAAGCCAAAAACAGTAAATCCTTTTGAGGAGTTCCTACATAATCCTTGATGATCTTAAACAGTTAGGGAAGAAACTACTAAAATAACCCAGAAAGCAACCAAAAATTAGATCAACACTTTGAAGGCAAATTTACCTCTGGTTAATGAGCCAAAGCTCTCTGAAGTGGCATTTTAGCTACTCTAAGTCCTTTTTCTAACTTTCAACCAGAGAGGAAATAGACAATCAGTATCTGTCAATCATTTAACAATTAAAACAAAATAAGGATTTTGGCAGGTTTGGTTTTTTGATTTAACGTTTGTCAATTGTGTCCAACGGAACGTTGGACTCCAATATGAACCCTCACAGCGACGTTAATAGAAGAGGAGCAAGTCTGACGCCATGTACAGTGTGGCAAATATATCCATACACACAAATACAGGAAGAGTTCAAAGCACCTAAAATAACCTCCTTCATCCAACAGAAGTCACTTTATTTGCTAATGAATAGACTGCCATGTATTTGGCACAAACATTTTACCAATTTAAGGAGTTTTGTAGTTAGTGTAACATTTTGTTCAGTGCTAGTGTTGGATTCAAGCAAAAAAAAAAAGCGGTATACATTTCAGGGGGAAGATACATTATAGAACTATATAAGGGGAATGTTCTGGTTTATGCAGTATTGTATAGTACTGTTGTATTGTACTAGCTAGTCCTTTAGGTTCTTGGGAAAAAATGGACAATAAACTTTCAGCCTGACAGAATTTTAGTTAGCTTTTTTGCTTTTATTAACAAGCATATAATATTAATTGGCAAAACACTGAATACAAGCTTCACTATCATAAAATCAAAACATTAAGCAATAATCCCAAAAGGCTTATTCAGACAAAAACTAGCCACCAATAGTACAAAAATTACACAGCAACACAAAGCATAAAAAAAATGTAAACTTTCAAATGAAACTAAGTCAAAAATATGATTTTATACTGTGATAGTTTCAGTATCTTTATTATACCACATATTGAGGATAAAGGCTTAGTGGTTGCACTGGCTTATTGTCCCTTAACCCTAAATTAATCTTGTTCCAGAAAAAAAAAGTTTTCTTTTGTCCAGTTAAATCATTTGGATGTTAAGGATTATATTAAACCAATGTTGTAAATCATAAGGACTTCTGCAGGCATGCTGCTAAGTAACTCTGCTCCTGTGAATAATCCCACTGGATTTAAATAGAACCATCCATGTGAGTAAAGTTACAAGGTCAGCATTTGCAGTATTGGACATTTACGCCCCAATCCTACAATCTGCTCTGGGGCAGGCCACATTGACTTCAACTGGATTCTGCGAGGGCATAAGGATCTGCCAGGTGGATCAGATTGCAGGACTGGATATTAAGTTTGTACATGAGCAAATTCAAACTCAATAGTATAAAATAAAAATAAAAGAGTGGGCTTACCATGAGGAGCAAGTTTCCAGAAAATCTGTACCTAATCTCTGCTTTCATCAAAACGCAGTTCAAAGTTAAATTATGCACCTTAAAATAAGCGCTCTCTCTGCACCTGGTACCTAAGGAAATGTTAAGTGAACCTCTCCGTTATAGTTAAGCATAGTTAAGTTATGCAAAAATTCTAGCCTATATGGGATTTTTTCTTTTCTTTAACTTTGAAGCAGAGGAACAAATGAGTAGGTTGCTTTAAAACTTCCAGTGAAGCATCTGAACTGAAGTGATTACCTGAGGAAATACAGAAACTGAATTTTTCTGTAGAGTACAGTTTACGCTGTCTGCATTAAATGCATTTCTTAAGTATTGATTACAATATAAATTTATCAAAGATTCATCTGTTGATGTAAAAACTGGTTGGCTTTTTCCTATTACATTTATCTCAATGGTAAGATTCTCCTAAGACTAATTATGCTGTTACGAAGACAATAGAGCCAGATAAGCTTTCAAAGGCTCATAGCCTATTGGAAAAAATAGCACCATCATAGTTGAGTCTGATATTTCATATGGTCCCATATCCCCAGAGGTTATAGTGTTGTGTATAGTATTGCACAACCAATAAAAAATAAATATTCCCAGGTTAGATGGTACACAAAGATACCAGACGTAACAATGGCACAAAAACAATTTCGGATAGGCTGCAAGTCTTGCAGATTGCTTCCACAATTCACATTAAGGTTTCTTGCCAGATCATTTATTTTAACATATTGCTGACAGGTAGTTCTTGCACTTACACACAATTTTAAAACCCCAAACTTCACTTCAAAATAAAAATAAAAAAAAAATAAAAAATGAAAATTAAAAAAACCAAACAAAAACCCATTTGAATGTACATTTTAAAAATCCCACCTACATTCCTTCTCAATTTAGCGGTAAGTAGATGCTACATTTACAATTTAAACATATGCCTTATAAATGCATGTTTCAAACCTATTGCACAAAAGCATAAGTAATGCTCTTTATCCATACAAAAACATCAAATAAAAACTACTCAAACTCAAAGTAAAAGGAAGAAGCTTGTAAAAACATCTCACAATTTCATTTTATATGCCCGTAAATAAAGCTGGACCATAGAAACCAAAATACTTGGATGGTAAAATAAGATAGAAGGCTTAAAATAGAATAAATAATTTTATAAAGTTAATTTTTTTTAAAACCCCCAAATCTTATTTAAATTCAATATTATATATTCTATCTGAATTCTCTATTTTAAATGAAAACTATATCTAGTGAGACTATGAGCCTGGGTAATTAGTCTCATTGCTGCTGAGGATAATGCAACAAGATACTTGTACTGCAATTATTTACCAGCGTAAGCAGTTGTGAAAACTACTTCACAGTAACTCCATCTTCACTAAAACCAAAATAAACTGAACATGACCAAGCAGGACCAAGAGATATCTAAGCTGAGCCTGACTTTCAGACCTTAAACAATACTTAAAAAAACAATAGTTATTTTTCCCCAATATAGTTTTGACATTAAATCAACTGTCTCTTAAGCTTCACAGAAGTAAAACAGAACTTTCAGAAATAGAATCCTTAAGGTCTCACACTGACTGTTGAATTTAATTGTATGCTACTCTTTCTACAAAGTTAAAATCAAACCAAATGGTGCAGTAAACCCCTATGGGAAATAGTTTCTGTAGTGAAGATATTCTGACATGATGCAATTTAGAAAAATAGGTATTTTTACCACTGAGGTTTTATCAGGTTAATACATTTAAAAAAAGCAGAGTTACACACAATTATGAGCTATAACCAGCTGTTGGTGTTAATACAGGCTTCAGATTTATGTATCTATACAGATATCAACAGATATTTAAATATATTGATATAGCACCATAGCAAATTCAAGTGATTCCAAAGATAGCTACAAACTTACAAATATATATTCTGTACTGTAAATTGCTACAGTGAGAGTTAGAACTGAATGGCAGAGGGTTTTTTGAATTTGCACGTTCATCTGTTTAATTGCTCCTCAGTTTAATTACACAGGAAAATATTCAAATTCTGATGTTCTTCAATGGCACTACAGTAACGTCTGGTTTTACAAAATGCTGCTGCAGTGCGTGTTCTGAGGTAGACACATCATGTATATATATTTATTAAACCCTTAGATTCAAATTAATCTGATTGATTAGGATAGGGTCATTTGGTTGAAGTTCCCTGACACACCCCACAATGCGGACAACTGATTAACAGTTCCACAAAGTCCTGGTAAATCAACTGACTTATAGGGTCACGTCGCCTAGGTTCATTTTGTGAAAAGCTCACAAAGGGCCAGTTGCTAGAACTAAACTACTGAAGTCTCTCCTTTCCTCTTCTGACACTGCTATTTTTTCTTCATGTTATACATAGATAAAAGCTGAACTGCAGGTAGGTGCATACAGGAACAGAAAGATCAAACCAAAGCCAAACTCTATTCCCCACACCCTCCAAGGCCTAGATGTGAAGTTGTCTTGCCTGGTCCAAGTACATTTACATCTCTCCCGCCCTAGATTTGCAGAGATGGCACTCCTACTAGTCCAGTAGATTTCCCTTGTTTCTCCATTTGCACCCATTCTGATTTCCTCCTCATTCACCTCTACGATTATGAATAAAAATAAAAGAACACAGCTTTATAACGCTGTTTTGAAATATATACAGGTGAGATTGTGTTCCCTCTCACAAATGTGGCAGTAGGAAAACTAAGAGAGGAGTCAAATGGAGGACCAGCAGACTCCAGGCAAGTACGTGTAAGGAGGCACACAGGAACATGCTGTTTTGGGGAGGCGGTGGATTTCTTTCAGACCCAGGAGAAAAGCGAGTGTACATGTTTGGATAAGCCAGTATTTCTCAGGATTTACTTCCTGATGTTAAATCTAATTTTAAATAATGATTTCTTGCAGGGCAGAGGAGCACAACTGGATGGAGTAGGGTGGTGCCAACAGGCATAATGCTTATGTTAGCCAGTGAGATTTGCCTTATGGAGGAATAAAAGGGTTTAATAATATGTATACAAAACTGGTTTTCAGCTGACAGGGGAACTTTCCCTCCTGAGCATTTAAAAAGAAAGTAATAACCTCCAGCTGCCAGTGTGTCATACTGCACACCCTCTTTTCTGTACCTTACAATCCCCCATGCCAGTCAAACATTTTAACATTTAATATTTTTATTATGTTATACAGTATATCGCCTGCAGAAATCACTTTCAACCAATATTAACAGTTTTTTTTAAGTCACCTATTTTTAAAAGCCTTTCAAGATTTTTTTTTTTTTTTAGTTAACACCCCTCTAAGCATTATCTGAGCGTGGACTTGATGACATACATAGTGTCCTGCATCTCTCGAGGCTGAACACAAAATCTAGATTAATAGATTTAAGGCCAGAAGGTACTGCTACGATCTAGTCTGACCTCCAAGATAGCTAATGATGACACTAAAGAAAACAATGGCTTTTTAAGGAAACCATTAAAGGAAATCTAGAACTGGTCAGTAATTAACAGCTGAATTTTTAAACCAGTGAAATGGAAACTTGTGTAATGTTTCTATGGGGTGTTTCTCAAAATAAAAATGCTTTAACCACTATTTAACCACAAATTTAGCGAAAAAACATTCTCCGTAAAGAAAAAATAAATTTCTGCAAGCCCTTACTGTATAAGACAAGTCTACCTTAAAATTCACAAATTTAGCACTTTGAGTACTTGTGTGTTATGATCGGATGCAATTTATGCCACAGCAAAATATTGGGCCATGTTAAAAAAGTAAACTCATTTTCATTAGCCTCATCAAAACATGCAGAGGATGCCAAAACATTAATGAAATATAAAATGAGATCAAGCACTGTGTGAAACTCATGAAGTTTTCAGATGCCTAGTTTTTTAGGAAGTTTTTAATGCAGCATAAATATCACCAGTCTCTATAATCATAAGGTACGTTCAATGCTCTTCAAAGGGCTCAATGAAAGCCAAAGTAACTGAGGCATACTATGTAAGACGGGAACACCTTGCAGAATATCTCAAAATAGGCTTTAGAAGTTTCAAAAGATGGAAAGTAACTAAAGGTAATTTTGGTGTCAAAGACAACCTTTAAACCCCTACGTTTTAACTTATTTTTGTGGAACTGCAGCAAAGAGATGAATGAAGTTGAGCTACATGGAACTGTGAAGTGTTTTCAGGATCTGTAAACTTAGTGCTGGTAGTGTCCTCTTGTGATTTATTTCTTTCGTACAAAAAAAGTATAAATATTTTCTGTCCAGAAATCTGGGCAACACATCTCCAGAAGAATATTCAGAAGGTTGGTTGGCTGTGAGAGCACTACAGTCTTCCAAAACAATTCTGCTGGTTCGTGTCACATGTGAGTTAAGTGATGCACTAAGAAGGTGCCTGATGATAGTCTCTGCAAAAAACGCTGTCCAGAAGGACAATAAAGGTCTCTTACAGCAAGTCCATTTTGGGTCTGTAATGTAGCAGGAGAGGTGCTTTCTGCAAGATAAAATAATGAGCTAATTTAAAAAGCAAAAGCAAAATGAATCCTCCTATGTGATAGGCAATCAACTCATCAAAATATGTTATCGATTAATATTTTAAGGCCAGAAGGGACTGACCACGTGTCATCTAGTTTGACTTTATGTATAACAGATCACAGAATTTCACCCAGTTAGCTGTATATTGAGCCTAACTAGAACATCCAGTGTGCTTTGAAGAGAAGAGATGGAGAATCCACCACTTAATCTTTAGAACAAACTACAAAGGTAACTACCTTCACTGCTAAAAATGTGTCTTATTTCTAATTTGAATGTGTCTGACCAACTTCCAGCCACTAGTTCTTGTTATGTCATTCTCTGCTAGCTTCGAAAGCCCTTTAGTACTCAGCAGTTTCTACCCATGAAGGTACTTTTACACTATAAGCAAGTTACCTCTCAATATTATTTTTGATAAGCTAAACAGATTGAGCTCTAAGTCTCACCATCAGGTATTTTTTCCAACCTACAGATCATTTTAATAGCTTTTCTCTTCACCCTTTCCAATTTTTCAACACTGATGCCACATATAGAAATAAAATCACTTTCCTATTCCAGTTCATTACTCCCCGGTTTATGTGGTCAAGGATCACATCCACAGTATCGTACTTGGAGCACACACTGAGCTGCTTGTCCACCACTACGACCCCATAATCATTTTCAGAGTCATTGCAGCCTAAGATACAGTCCCCCATTCTGTAGGTATGGCCTGTATTCATTCTTCCTAGATGTGTCACTTTGGTTTTGAAAAATATAATTTGTTTGAATGGGCCCAGCTTAGTAAGCGATCCAGATAGCTCTGTATGACTGCTCTGGCCTCATCTTTATTTACTACCTGGCCAATCTGTGTCATCTGCAAATTTTATCAGCAATAATTTTATACTCACTTTCAGATCTTTGATAAAAATACCAAATAGCATAGGTCTAGTACTGATCACTGGGGGACCCCACTAAAAACATCCCACTCAATGATTATTCCCTATTGACCATTACTTTGAGATCTGTCAGTCAACTAATCTATTTAAGGTGTGTTTTGTTGATATTGTATAGGTTCAAATTTTTAAAACTAGAATGCTGTGTAGTACTAAGTTGAACCTCTTACAAAAGTGTAAGAATATTACACCTACGCAACTACCTTTATTAACCAAATTTGTAATGGTCAAAAAACAAAATCAGGCTTAAAGACATTTTCCATAAAACCATGTTGGCTAGCATTAATTATTTTCCCATCCTTCAATTCTATATTGTTTGAATCCTGTATCAGCTTCTCCGTTATTTTGCCTGGGATTGATGTCAGGCTATTTACCCACGTCATCCTGCTTGTCCTTTGCTGATGTTTTGCCAATATGCATAGTTTCAGGCGAGAAGGGAACATGAGATCTTTTAGTCTGACCTCCTGCATACCACAGGCCATTAGTTTTCGTCTTTTTCTATTAAGGCTGAAGACTTTAGTTAGACCAAAGCATTCCAGACCTCAGGAAACTAAACTATTGTGTGCCACAGGGAGAGAACATGAGAGACCAAGGTGCCACCAATGCCTGAAGCCCCTGCAATGGCAGGGAATGGATCTGGTGAGTCATGCCCAGCAGGCATCCACATCCCATGCTGCAGAGGAAGGCAAAAAAAACCCCAAAGTCCCAGCCAATCTGACTTAGGGCAATATTCCTTCCCATCCCCAAATCTAGCAATCAGTGTGACTCCGAGTATGTGAGCAAGACACCAGCTGGGCATTGAGAAAGAGGATTGTTGGAACCACCTCAGAGCGATGGCCAACCCCACCAAGTGTCCCATCTCCAGTTGTGGAGAAACTCGTCTCATCTCCCGGAATTTCCCCATTATTCCAAGGGCTCCTAGGTGCTATGGTAATATAAATAATAAACAGCACCAGCAACCCAGAGATGTCCTGAACCAACCCTCTTAGTTGGTTCACACTATCTGGGCCTGCTGGATGACCTTTGGGTAAGTCACTTCATTTCCATGTGCCTCAGTTTTCCCATCTGTAAAATGGGGACAATGTTTCTTATCTGCTTTGTAAAACACTGAGATCTACTGATAAAAAGTACTATATAAGAGCTAATTATTACCATCATCATCCCTAGCATCCTTAATGCCCTCAATTCCCAATGGACCGAAAAGTAGTTCATCATCGTCACGTAACACAAGTGTATCATCTTGCTTCTTTCCAAATACAGAACTATAAATTGATCGCTTTTACCTTTTCTGCATTATTAACATTTGCACCATCTCCATATAGTAAAGAGCCTATACCACTGTTAGAATTTCTCTTTTTCCTGATTTATCTGAAAAACCTACTGTCCTTAGCCTCGCCAGCCATGGATTTTTTTCCTGTTGTCTTTAGTTTTCCCTCTCCAATTTTCTACATTTCATAATTTCTAATTTATATTGATAGCTATCTACTTCCCCCTTTTTCCCCAGTTGTTATATATTGTTCTTTATTTCGAGTTGTTGCCCTCACTTTGCCCCTAAACCAGGATGGACTTTTAACCAATTTTTTAGCCAGTTTTAAAGTTACTGCAGGTATAAAACTGTGTACAATAGATACTTTATGAACTCTGTTCTATAACCAGGTTAATGACTTAATTTTCATTCTAAATATGAGTGAATTTATGAAAAAGCAGTTGTGTCGTACCTTAAATCTCCACCTAGTGACAACTACAAATTTGAGCGTATGGTCCTTGCCAAGAATTTCTTCATTGCATAATATATCCAGCTGATTGAAAAGGAAGAGAGACTTAAATTCATTAAGAGACACATAGAACACACTTCTGTGACAAGACAATGCAGATGGATAAAAGTCATGTTAAACATGTCCAAAATCATCTGAAGACAACAGAAAAATCCTAACGCTTCCCACACTGTGTGAAACAAAACTTTCAGTCCTAATGGAGAGAGCACCTAGGTCTCTTCTCTGATTTCTGGATGTTGAAAGACATCCTCAACCCATGAAAGTCCACCATGGGAATGTTTCATAATGTAGACCCTAACTTTTTGATCCACTGACTCTTTATGTGATATTGACACCTTCCCCTAACTCCAAACCATCATCAGGACTTTTAAAAAACCTGTGCAAACTTTACTTCCTTCCAAGTCTCATGTGAAGACAGCTTATCCTGTTTGACATGCTACGAAAACTGTTTAGCATCATATTGTCATATGCAGTGTTGTTGGTCCTAGGACGTTACAGAGACAAGGTGGGTGAGGGAATAGCTTTTATTGAACCAACTTCTATTGGTGAGAGAGACGAGCTTTTACCTTGAAGTGGCTTTCACCTTGAATGGACCCTTGAAATGTGTGTTAACTACTCATGCTAAACAATCTGTTCCACATTGTACTCAGAGTGGCACAGCTAAATACATTTCCCAGACCTGAAGAAGAGCTCTGTGTGAGGTCAAAAGCTTGTCTCTCTCACCAACAGAAGCTGGTCCAATAAAAGATATTCCCTCACCCGCCTTGTCTCTCTAGGCATCATATGGCAGATGACAACCTGGGTTGGAAGCTGTATTTTTAATGGCTGGTCTCTTCCACACAGGGACTACGTTTTATATAAATTAACATTGGCTACAGTACCTTTTTGCAGATTTGAAAACTAACATCTTAGTAAAAAGATGTAAGAACTAGTAAGTGTCTCTGTGATAATTTAAGTGTGCAATTACTTCAGTCCTTAAGTCTATTCTTCACTTGGTACAGGAATGCAACTTCCCTTTGTGAGAACTCCATGCGACCACACAGGGGAAAAGACCACTTATAAATACAATTAAGAGCCAATAAAATTAAGCATGTTCCTTCCTTCACACTACCCAAATAAGTTTTTTAATTGGTGATCATAACAAGAGTACAGGTGGTCTTCTCTTGTTATATACATGAACAAGTGAAGCTGTTTCAGTTGACAATTTCTATTTTAAGTAAAAGTAGCCTTCACAATAATTTTGAATAGAGGTAGGTAGATAGATTACACACTGGGGGGTGCAAGGAGTGGGTGACTTCTGAGCCAGGTGAGAGTGGCTGTGGTCAGGTAGGAAGGGGAAGGGTTCAGAGTCTGAAAGGCTGGCTGTTTTTGTAGGTTGTATTCTGAGCATGGGAGAGGATGTTTCAGAGCTGTGGAGAGGTTAGGTAGGAAGAGGAGAGAGGTGTGCATAAGTGGGGACAGGGGTATTTCTGAGCAGGAAGGCGGTTCTGAGCTGGGAAACAGACAAGGAGTTGGCAGGGCTGAATACCAACGCAACACTCAATTGGGAATGAGGCCGTGAATGAACTGGTGGTATGTCCTTTGGGCTAGGACATGGTAGAGTAAGTACTAGATTGTGCGAGGAGAGGATGGGACTGTTTATATGGCTGCTGCCCTTCATAATAATGTGTCCTAGTTTTACAATCTGAAATGGGGCAGATCAGAGGGAAGATGATGACCCCCTTTTTCTTCCTACTTCTTCATTCACCTCTCTTTCTCTCCCCCCCCACCAAATGGCTTCCCAGTGACCCACAGTCTCCTAGTTTTTCCACTTTGGAAGCATGATCAACCTGCGAGGAAACGTAGGAGCATGGCCAGCAGTCCCCCCAGTTTATGTTGGATACATGCTGACCCTATACTTTGGGTGAAATTCATCCTTGTGCATAAGAGCAACACAAGGGCTATGGACCACTTAAGCTATATGGCTTAAAAAAGACTTCAGTGGTGGATAGGCCTGGCACTGGCCCTATGCACTGGGGTGAAATTCTCCATTTTCTCTTACACGCATGATCATATAAACATATAACACTAGTGGAAGCCTATGCCAAAGCTTACCTTAATGACAATGATTTAAAACTGGATGTGGAAAAAGGTGTTAAAGTATTAGACAAGCCATGTGGCTTATATTACTAGCCCAAGTACCAACAAGGGCTGAAACCCAAGGGGATTAAGTTGGGGAAGGAAGGAGGTAAGTGCTTCAACATTCATATTTTGCCTTTATATTTTTATAAAAAGGCTACAGATTTGCCTTGATCCAGCTCAGATGAAAAAGCTATTTTAGTCCTACTACAATAATCACATTTTATCTTAAAGTGGTTTGTTCAGTTCTCTCTAAGAACAAGATTACAAGGAAAAGCTTTGCTTTTAAAAAATGAGCTTCATACACTTGCTACAAGCTTTTTATTTACAGTGCGATTTTCTCTTATGCTAAAACGTTACCTCATTAAAAGAAGAAAGATTAAGTTTTTTGGCAATGAACTTCTTTAGATGTAAGACTGTTGCTTGTGCTGAGCAGCGGATCCACTTTCGTTTCAATCCACGCAATTTGCTGCTATTGCATTCCAAGCAGATGCTTACCTTCAGGGAAAAGCAAACAGTCCAGAATTGGTTAATAGGATTTCCTGCAATCCTGATTATGCATTCTATAGGCAGCCTTCATTGGTCTACCAAAATAAGGTCAAAACTTAAAAATTAAACACCTTTGAAGTCAAATGTTCACCGTCACCTTACTTAAAGCAAACGAGTTGTCTATAACTTGTCAGCTTATAGTTACACTTCATTTACCTCTTAAAAATGTCTGGACAGAAGTTGGCAGCAGCTAATCTGTACATTTTAGGGGTCATTCTGACTAACTCAGGAGTTGTCAAGGTCAAACCACAAACCAAAAGGTGTAAACACTAACAAGTGTACAATAAAAAGAAAAGGAGTACTGGTGGCACCTTAGAGACTAAAATTTATTTGAGCACAAGCTTTCGTGAGCTACAGCTCACTTCATCGAATGCATTCAGTGGAAAATACAGTGGGGAGATTTATATATACACAGAGAACATGAAACAATGGGTGTTACCATACACACTGTAACGAGAGTGATCACTTAAGGTGAGCTATTACCAGCGGGGGGGGGGGAACGGGGGACCTTTTGTAGTGATAATCAAGGTGGGCCGTTTCCAGTAGTTGACAAGAACGTCTGAGGTACGGGGGGGGGATAAACATTGGGAAATAGTTTTACTTTGTGTAATGACCCATCCCAGTCTAAGTTAATTGTGTCCACTTTGCAAACTAATTCCAATTCAGCAGTCTCTCGGTGGAGTCTGTTTTTGAAGGTTTTTTTTGTTGTAATATTGCGACTTTTAAATCTGTAATCGAGTGACCAAAGAGATTGAAGTGTTCTCCAACTGGTTTTTGAATGTTCTAATTCTTGACGTCTGATTTGTGTCCATTTATTCTTTTACATAGAGACTGTCCAGTTTGACCAATGTACATGGAAGAGGGGCACTGCTGGCACATGATGGCATATATCACATTGGTAGATGTGCAGGTGAACGAGCCTCTGATAGTGTGGCTGATGTGATTAGGCCCTATGATGGTGTCCCCTGAACAGATATGTGGACACAGTTGGCAACGGGCTTTGTTGCAAGAATAGGTTCCTGGGTTAGTGGTTCTGTTGTGTGGTATGTGGTTGCTGGTGAGTATTTGCTTCAGGTTGGGGGGCTGTCTGTAAGCAAGGACTGGCCTGTCTCTCAAGATCTGTGAGAGTGATGGGTCGTCGTCCTTCAGGATAGGTTGTAGATCCTTGATAATGCGTTGGAGAGGTTTTAGTTGAGGGCTGAAGGTGATGGCTACTGGCATTCTGTTATTTTCTTTGTTGGGCCTGTCCTGTAGTAGGTGACTTCTGGGTACTCTTCTGGCTCTGTCAATCTGTTTCTTCACTTCTGCAGGTGGGTATCGTAGTTGTAAGAATGCTTGATAGAGATCTTGTAGGTGTTTGTCTCTGTCTGAGGGGTTGGAGCAAATGCGGTTGTATCGCAGAGCTTGGCTGTAGACAATGGATCATGTTGTGTGGTCTGGATGAAAGCTGGAGGCATGTAGGTAGGAATAGTGGTCAGTAGGTTTCCGGTATAGGGTGGTGTTTATGTGACCATCGCTTATTAGCACTGTAGTATGCTGGAAGTGATCTCTTGTGTGGACTGGTCCGGTTGATGGTAGGATAGAAATTGTTGAAATCATGGTGGAATTCCTCAAGGGCTTCTTTTCCATGGGTCCAGATGATGACAATGTCATCAATGTAGCACAAGTAGAGTAGGGACATTAGGGGACGAGAGTTGAGGAAGCGTTGTTCTAAGTCAGCCATAAAAATGTTGGCATACTGTGGTGCCATGTGGGTTACCCATAGTGTGCTGCTGATTTGAAGGTATACACTGTCCCCAAATGTGAAATAGTTATGAGTGAGGACAAAGTCACAAAGTTCAGCCACCAGGTTTGCTATGACATTATCGGGGATACTGTTCCTGACAGCTTGTAGTCCATCTTCGTGTGGAATGTTGGTGTAGAGGGCTTCTACATCCATAGTGGCCAGGATGGCGTTTTCAGGAAGATCACCAATGCATTGTAGTTTCCTCAGAAAGTCAGTGGTATTGCAAAGATAGCTAGGAGTGCTGGTAGCATAGGGCCTGAGGAGGGAGTCTACATAGCCAGACAATCCTGCTGTCAGGGTGTCAATGCCTGAGATGATGGGGCGTCCAGGATTTCCAGGTTTTATGGATCTTGGGTAGCAGACAGAATACCCCAGGTCAGGGTTCCAGGGGTGTGTCTGTGCGGATTTGTTCTTGTGCTTTTTCAGGGAGTTTCTTGAGCAAATGGTGTAGTTTCTTTTGGTATCCCTCAGTGGGATCAGAGGGTAATGGCTTGTAGAAAGTGGTGCTGGAGAGCTGCCTAGCAGCCTCTTGTTCATATTCCGATCTATTCATGTTGACGACAGCACCTCCTTTGTCAGCCTTTTTGATTATGATGTCAGAGCTGTTTCCGAGGCTGTGGATGGCATTGTGTTCTGCACAGCTGAGGTTATGGGGCAAGTGATGCTGCTTTTCCACAATTTCAGCCCGTGCACGTCGACAGAAGCACTCTATGTAGAAGTCCAGTCTGTTGTTTCGACCTTCAGGAGGAGTCCACCTAGAATCCTTCTTTTTGTAGTCTTGGTAGGAAGGTCTCTGTGGGTTAGTATGTTGTTCAGAGGTGTGTTGTTCAGAGGTGTGTTGTTCAGAGGTTGAAAATAGGATTCTAGGTCACCACACAACTGTATCATGTTTGTGGGGGTGGAGGGGCAGAAGGAGAGGCCCTGAGATAGGACAGATTCTTCTGCTGGGCTAAGACCATACTTGGATAGATTAACAATATTGCTGGGTGGGTTAAGGGAACCACTGTTGTGGCCCCTTGTGGCATGTAGTAGTTTAGATAGTTTAGTGTCCTTTTTCTTTTGTAGAGAAGCAAAGTGTGTGTTGTAAATGGCTTGTCTAGTTTTTGTAAAGTCCAGCCACGAGGAAGTGTGTGTGAAAGGTTGGTTTTTGATGAGAATATCCAGTTTTGAGAGCTCATTCTTAATCTTTCCATTTGCTGTAAAAGATGTTGATCAGGTGGTTCCGCAGTTTCTTTGAGAGCGTGTGGCACAAGCTGTCAGCATAGTCTGTGTGGTATGTACAGTGTGAAAACCACCTTCACTTTTTCAATGACTGTTTAGAGTGTCATCTTTACATAATTTTAAAGGCTATGTTAACGTACATTCAGATTATATGCATGTTTTAAAAAGGATCATCAACTTGAAAGTTATTTTGTCTGAGATTTAAAGGTGTTACAAGAAAACAAGTAAAAATTTTTCAAAAAGAAGCTAGTAAAACACCAAAAGATTTTTACTCAAATTACTGATAGGCTAGGCTATGATTTTTTCATGGAAATTTTAATAAAGGTCATGACAGAGGTGCGGGAAAAAAGGCTTATGTCACAGAAATGGGGAAAAGCAGATGACCCATGGGGATGTGAGGTGGCTTGGACAGCAAGCTCTCTCCACACTCCCCCCACAGTGGCAGCTCCTCTCCCACAAGGCTAAGCCGAATTTTTTGGTCCGGCACCCTGTCACCATCTACACGGGGTGGACGCACCAAACCTGAGTGGTCCTGCAACCACGTGGGCCAGATTGCAATATTTGGAAGGGAAGGAAGGGTTGACTAACTTTATTCAAATTTACAATTACCATGAACACTGACAGCTGTCCCAAAATCATAGCCTTACTAACAGGTACTCAACCGTAACAAGGTACTTTTATATTACCGTTTAATTTTTAACTAATCCTAACCTAAGACTGTGAAGAACTGCATTGTGGGAAGCATGAAAAGCAGAACAGAGGGCAATCTTCATGACTTCCAGGAGCAGAGAAGGTTTTGCCATAGGTGGTGCATGGCAACAGAGCCCCACTTAGCAAAGTGCCATCAGCCCCCCCAAAATCTTAGTGGTTTGTCACCAAACCCCACCACCTTAGGCAACTCATCAGGGTCCCCATCCCAAATGAGTAGGGCCTTACCAAATTCATGGCCATGAAAAATGCATCACAGACCATGGAATCTGGTCTCCCACCGGGAAATCTGGACTTGTGTGCTTTTACCCTATACTATACAGATTTCACAGGGGAGACCAGCGTTTCTCAAATTGGGGGTCCCAAAAGGGAGTTGCAGGAAGGATCACAGGGTTATTGGGGGGGGTGGAGGGGGAAGAAATCGCAGTATTGCCACGCTTATTTCTGCACTGCCTTCAGAGCTGGGTGGCCGGAGAGTGACGGCTGTTGGCCAGGTTCCCAGCTCTGAAGGCAGCGCCCCCGCCAGCAGCAGCGCAGAAGTATGGGTGGCAATACCATACCGTGCCTTCCTTACTTCTGTGCTGCTGCTGACAGCAGCTCTGCCTTCAGAGCTGGGCTCCCGGCCAGCAGCCGCCGCTGTCCAGTTGCCCAGCTCTGAAGGCAGCGTTGCTGTTGGGTAAGAGTAGCAGTACCACAAAGACACACCCGCACACAACCTCCCCCACCACCACACACACACACACACCCACACCCCTTCCTCCTTTTTGGGACAGGACTCCTAAAATTACAACACCTTGAAATTTCAGATTTAAATAGCTGAAAACATGAAATTTACTATTTTTAAAATCCTACAACCATTAAATTGACCAAAATGGACCATGAATTTGGTAGGGCCCTACAAATGACCCTTAGGTACCACATATTCCTGCATGAAGTTATTAATGCTCACCGGGGGCTGGCAAAGCTTACCGAGCTTCATGGCGTTGAGCCCTACATGAACCTCCTAAGGCTTGCAGGGGAGTTGGCTGTGGGTCACAAGAGGTACAGTGTCCCCTCACACAGTCCTGAGCCAGTGTATTAGGAAGGGGAAAATCCCCCTGAAATTCTCTCACAAAGCCCTCTTGCAACCTCCAAACTTTAGGTATGCAGGAGAGGGTAACTCTCCATCTCCTCACTGGGCTCTGCACAGGAGAACTGACAAACAGACAACCCCTCCCTTTTTGCTTTCTTTTGCCTCTCCAGGCCTGTCTCCGGAACTTGCAGCAAGTCAAAGCAAGCTCAGCAGCTCCTGACATTCTATTCTGAAGCTCCTGTTTAATGTGTTAATAACCTTAAAATTAGACTACCCAACTAGCATCTCTTGTTTACACACCCACACGCATGCAAGCACTGGAAGTGTGGAGATCCTTTGCTTGGAATGCTCTTGGCCACATGATAAAAGTATAGTTACAGACTGCTCCCACTTTGGACTTTATGGACTCCCACTTTGCCCAGTAAAAAGCACTAAATCCCCACCCAGCAGGGGTAGACATGGAAAAGGTGTATAATCATCTCCTACTAGCATCCTTCCAACCCGTCATAGCTTGGGAAAACACAAATGGGACTTGCAGTGTGCCACGAGGTGGATTAATGAGAGCAGCTTCAGACAGGGAGCGAGTATCCCAAACCTAAAGGAGCCTTCAGAAAATGCTTTGCCAGCAGCCCTGTATCTGGGTGGCATCCCCATGGATCTCAATGTGGCAGGATGGCAGAGGGAGAGAGGTCATCTTTCAGAAAAGTAGGTCCCAGGCCATTTATGCCTTTATAGGTAAAAGGCCAACACCTTCAATTGTAGCCAGTACTTGGGGGATGGGAAGCCAGTGTAGATTTAAAAGCACGGTTTCCTATGCTTTACTGGGGGGAGAGGGGAGGGAGGGGGAATGGATGGATTCCATAACAGATGAGCTAGTTTATTCTACATGTTTTTTTTATCTGAAGAGTGGTTTAAGCTGTAGTGCAGTTAACAACTACAATCTCCTGGCCATACGAAAAGGTGAAAAAACTGACCTACTTTACTAGCAGATGAAAGTCCAGACAGATTGATAAAATGCACACCTGCGCCACAAACGGCAACTGAACACCCTCAGCAGAGGTGGTATCTCTGCCATTTTTTCCTGTTTTTTCCCAACTAACATCACAACTCCAACTTCTATGGATTTTGCCTCAGCCATCTGGCTCTCATCCAAACAGCAGGCTAAGCAATCAATTGCTTTGCCTAGGTAAGGGACTATGGAGCTGGTCCTATGACAGCTATTTTGGTCCTGATCTGGAGTATAAAAAGACGCCATTAGTTCTCTTCCTTCCTTGCTGTTTTTGCTACAAAGTAGCAAAAACAAATCATCATCTGTATTAAATATATTTTAAGGTGTTAGATAAAGTTCTAGATTTAAATTACTTTGCATTTTTAGAGAGTAATTTTCTCAGCCACAGACCTCACATACCAGTTTTGAGGCACATTTTTTAATTCACTTCAGGCTAGAGGACAATCAATCACAATTATAACGGCCACTGATCCTTAATGAGATTTTCTTGAAAAACAAACGCCACTCCTTCCCTACACATAAAGGCACTTGGTTCAACTTTATACATTCTACTAAAAAGCATGGAAAAACAGTACCTTGCTTCCATCAACTGATGAAAGTATGGATATAAAAGATTATTCGTCCTTCATAGCACATAATGAAAATAAAGTTAAATGGCAACCTAAAACTAAGTAAAAGTTGCCTGAAAGATATTCTACCTGTTCATCACTTCTGTGATAGTCATTATCTTCTTCCTGTTTTTCTTCTGATGTTTCTTTGTTTGAACTCTCATCAGCTTTAGTTTCACCTTAAATAAAAAAGGAAAGCATTATAATCATGAAATTAAAAGATGTTAAACTGTAGGTAATCTCAATCGATAGTAACAAAAATAAAATCAAGACAAAGCAAATGGGGTTTTATAAGTTTCTGAATGCGTCAGACTGGGGGTGAGCTCATTTTATAAAAGTTAAAAAGGAGCTTAACCATCTTTGGGATTTTCTGGATGCATACTTAGCTAGGTGTAGATTCACAGGCAGTGCACCTATGTTTCAAGGGCCCTAATCCAAAACCCACTGAGGACAATGGAAAGACTGACACTGAGCTTTAAAGCAGGACATAAATGCACAGCTAAGGAAGAACGCATTTGTTGCTTTGAAGGACTTACAAGCTGGACAGTCACCATGTCGAAAAATAATTTTCTCCTTAAAAAAAGATTATCAATGCACCATTACTGTCCCAAGATTGTATTCAAAAGTCAGGAAGTTCAAAAACTTCAGGCTGCCAAAGAAATGTCAACTCTGCTAAGTATTATATACGCAGTAATTTCTATTCTTTTTCCTCTCAAAAAGAAGCCTTAAGGTATTACATTTATTAGTAAAATATAATTCCAGCCCTAACTGTTCAAATTTCCTAGTATTAGAGTGTGATATCCCTAGCTTTATGCATTGATGTGCTGTTCACTCAAATTTTAAGTAAACTCTGAAAACTGTTGTGTGATACTTTTTTTTTTTTTGGTCACTAAAAACTATATTTAATAGGAAATTTGGGAGTGGGCGGGGGGGTTGAATTATGCATGCACAATCAATCTCTACCGACAAACAAAATTATGGTCCAAATCCCTGGATATAGCAAGAGGGGAAATCACAGCTCAGGAATGTGACCTTTGCTCTCCACCAAATCTTGGGCTTGCTACTTTAAGCGACTGTCAACAGCCCCACGGGTCCATGGTGGCAACTGGGTATCAGCAGACCATAACCCTCATCATGGCCAACTCTGCTAGCAGCCAGTATCATGGTAGTGTAGGAGCCCCTACACCAGCACTATTCCAAAAGATATCCCAGGCGGGGGTGGTCTTGCTATGGCCAGTTAAGATGGTTTAAGGGTAGAGGTAGTGTGATGCAAAGCGGACTCACCACACCCTAGGAGGTGAGCATATAGTACTCCTGAGGGAATTCTGCGCCAAAAAATTAAAAATTCTGCAAGTTTTATTTATCAAGGAATAAATGTGGAGGTTCCAGCATGGCAGCAAGGAGCACAGGCCACTGGCTACACAGAGGTGGGAGATCACCCTGCAGCCTCCCTCCCCCATCCCAGGACACTGACTTGGTCCTGAGGCTGCACCCAACTTTACGTAGCGCAAGGGCTGAGCCTGCCCCAGAAACACTGCAGGGCCCTGCCCCTCCATGCCAAATGCACCAGGTGTGGGGTAGGCAGGCTCAACCAGGCAGGAACCAAGTGTGGAGGGGCTCAGTGTGTGGGGATCCAGGTGTGGAGTGAGAGGGTTCTGTGTGGGACAATCTGGGTGCAGACAGCTCAGTGAGGGATCCAGGTGTGGAGGTAATCTGGATGCACAGAGGCTTGTTCTGGGGTTTCAGGTGCAGGGGCAATGGGACTCTGCAGGGGAGGGTCTGAGTATGAGGGGCTCAGCGGCAAGGTGGGGCGCTAGGTGCTGGGGGAGTGGGGCTTGGGGGTCTGGGTGCAGCTAGCTAGGGCTCAGTGGGGTGGGGGATCTGGGTGTGAGGGAGCTCATTGGGGTGGTCCAGGTGCAGGGGGTGGTCTGGGTGCAGAGGTGGAGGTCTGGAGACAGGGGGTCTGGGTGCAAGGGGGTCTCCAGATGTAGGGGTTGAGGTTCAGCAGGGTAGGATTCAGGTATGGAGGGGTGTGGGGGGCAGATTCTGGGATGAGGCTTGGCAGGATGGGTCCGAGTATGGGGGGGTCCGGATGCAGGGGGTTGGGCGGACAGGGGAGCAGCTCCCCATACAGTGACCCCTTCCCTGCAGCTGAGGTGTGATGAGGGCTGGAAGCAAGGGAGGATGCTGAGCTTCCTGCAGCCAGGGGAGGTTTCTGGGGGTGGGTCTAGCAGCTGATCCCAGTGCAGGGTAGGAGCCACCATAGTGATTTGCCTCTCTGCCAGCTGCTCCAGGTGCATGAAACTATGTGCCTGAGCTGCTAGGGAGAGGTGCGTGACCGCTCTTGTAACTTCCCTTTGCTTCCCCTGTCAGAAAGTCATTTTTCTGAGGGGAAGCAAAGAAATCCGTGGGGGACATGAATTCTGTGTGTGCATAGTGACGCAGAATTTCTCCAGGAGTAGTACAACTTAACACCATTAGATGTTTAATGCAGTCACATTCAGAACGTACAATACTACATAACAATTTCTATAATTATGATTGGTGTTTAGAATAATCTTATTAGCATAATGGCATTTTTCCAAAGAGAGCAAACAAAAATAAATTACCATTCCGATGCGAATCTAAATGTTGCTTAGCAGAGCAGGTCTCCCCTTTGATGTCCCCTGGTACTTCCATGCCTAGTTTATGATAGAATTCTCTCTGTTTTCTCATTTCCGCTGTTTAAAAATTTAAACAGTTTCACTAATAAGTGTCAGAGGAACAGCCGTGTTAGTCTGTATTCGCAAAAAGAAAAGGAGTACTTGTGGCACCTTAGAGACTAACCAATTTATTTGAGCATGAGCTTTCGTGAGCTACAGCTCACTTCATCAGCTCAAATAAATTGGTTAGTCTCTAAGGTGCCACAAGTACTCCTTTTCTTTTTACTAATAAGTGTCAATGTAACATTTATAAAATTGTTTCAAACCTCTCCCACTTCCTCATAGAAGAAACTTCCCAGCAAGAAGAGGCACTTATCGGAGTGTGAACAACACTATCCCTTCACTTTTGGCTGCATCTCTGCTTTTCCTAATTGCCATTTTATCAAGTTACACCACATATCTTGTCATTCAGCTGTAGAATAACCACTTCATCTTCCCAGGCTGCTATTACATCATTTCTGTGATTTCAGATCATATGGATTTTAAAGCTACTCCATATTTTTCCATGTATCCTTCTACAAATCTCTCAGTTGAAGTACGTGATACATGCCTGTTTAGTTACACATGTAAGAGATTCTGAATTTCCTTTTTTCTCCCTACTTCTAATTTTTAGCCTGAAAGAATTTCATTTATATATAGTCTCTTTACTTAAACTTGCATATTTAAAAGTGAGAGAATGTCCTCTTGACTTGACAACTTAGTTTCAATGAAAATTTTCCACCTAAACAGGTAGTAAAACACTACTGAAAAAAAATGAGAATGGTCCAGTAGTTGGTACAGAATATTCCTTCAGCTCAAGACACCCAATATTGTCAAACTATTACTGTTATGAGAAGAAGCACACAAATTAGAAGTTACCTGTTAGCAAAGGCCTAAAGTACAAAAGGAAGAAAATTATGCTGAAACCAAACATTTTCTCTGCATTAAATGTTTCACTTTTGACAACTTGGGAAAGCAGCAACCAAATGATTGAATAAACGTAGAATTCAAAACAAAATGTACATACAAAATATAATGCCAACACACAAAAGTTTGCTTTAAAGTGTTACACAACATTATACAATGTTTTAATTTTCCTGAAACATCCCCACAATTTTCATGACTGGAACATTTTCCAGTACTGGGTGTCTAACATTAACAGAAAGCACATATTGAAGGATAAAGTGAAATCAGTGCTAGAATTTGAATAAGTGCAGAAATGCTTCCACTGTATATTTTTCACCACTATCTTTGTCTAAAAGCAGCAAGCAGGTGAAAACCTTTGCTATCCCTTAAACATGCACAGTAGCTCTTTGTAAATCTAACATTTACAGCTAAAAGAAGACATACCAAGACTTACCATCTTGAAGGCCTGGCACAAGTTTGTAAACAATATCTTGCATTGTTCTGTCATGACTGGCAAAAAGAACAAAACAATTAGAATTTGAAAACTTCCTGTTTTTTAATCAATCATCTCTATTCTAAATGTCATCTCACTTAAAGAGAAAGACTCCAATATTAAACAGATTATGCAGACAGGAATATAGACTTTTAAACATCACAGTAGAGAATATTCAGATTTATAAATGGTAATTGAACATCAGAAAGATGTAATATGAGAAAATGATTTTAGTGGACTGGAAGGAGCAAGATGAGAAAGGAAGCCTGATAAGGCCCCAACCGTCAAGGCAGAAGGTAATAAAGTAGCCCGTGTGATGTGGAGAATGACATACTAGAATGTTAACAGGCTGTGTGAATTTTCTGAAGTCCACCCTTAACAGAACACAGAAGAACATGAATGATCCGTCTAGAGCAGAATGTGGAATTGCGCCCAACTGCATCAAGGTACACATGTTGGTAATGCACATTTTACTATACCTCGATAGAAGTTTGACCTAAGGCAGGCAATTTTTGGCTCAAGATGAGGAAAAATACACTTTAACACGGCCTTCCTATTCAGCACGGTATCAGGCAAAGGATATTACTGAAGGTTTGCAATGGTACAAACATCTTTATGAATAACTGTACATTTCTCATACATGTGGAACAATACTTAAATCAAATTTTCATTAGTTATAGTGCACTGCACCAGAGAATCTGGTCCCAGCTATTTCTGCTGCTATGCAGCTTGACTATCTAAATTACAGGGTCCCTATTCTGTTACAAAAGTCTTATTTCTCTTACAGCTATTTTAAATAGAGTCTAGAAGATTTTGTTTTCCTCCATACACAGCTGTTTCATGAAGTTACATACCACATTCTTTGCTGGTGATAAACTGGTGCACCTACAACAACTTCAACAGATATTTACCTATTTCCACCAGCAATGAATTTGCCCATATGGGATTAGACCAACATTCCTATATAAATAGATAGGGATAGACCCTTTTGTTATGAGAATGCACAGATACACTAGGAGATGTTAACATCCCCAGGTCCTTCAATCCCACATTTGGGGATGTTTGGCGAAATTATCCATACTATGTTCCTTTTCTAACGAACAGCTAGAGAAAAGCATGCACAGGAAAAGCATATAAATCAAGAAAAAGGAGTTAAGCCCATATATTCGGCTGTTTATAGGCAAAGACAGTAAATTGCTCTTAATCCAACCACTTCCATTCAAATTTAAGAGCAGCAATGAGCAGCTCACAAAGCTGTGTTGTCCAGTGATTCTTAAGCAGAAAGGTAAGGTGGCCTGACACTAGGCATGGAGGGGGAAAAAAGCAAAATTGGTCAAGACCCTAAACCTCTAGCCCTCAACCTCCTTGGAGAAGCTAATCTACTGATTCGCTTTCAACAGAAATTCAAACAAAGAAAAATCAAGAAAGGGCAATTCTATCTAGAAAAGTACCATTTGAAAGGGCCAGAATGTTACCAGACCTCTGAAACGATACTACCAAGTTCTAATATTAAGCAAAAATAGTGCAATAATTTTAAAAATACACCCATCCCAGCTGACAGCTGGCATTACCCTGGAAAAATGTACCATGTTGAGCACTGGCTCTGACTCCAAGGCAGGAGTGTATGCTCGTAACAGAGGTCAGTTCTCAGCAGTACTCCACAACAGCGGAGACCACTCAGACAGAAACAGCAGTAACAGAGTTAGTAGCAGTTTACTAGTTACTTCAACCTTTTAAACAATATTTTAAGAGCATGAGGAGAACAATTAGGTTTAAATGAACTAATGGAACATCCCCATTTTAGCTAAGTCTCTAACATGAGTGTGAGGGGTCTATTTCCAGATTGCAGACGCTTCACCAAGAGCATTTCAATATAAATGAACCACAGTCAAGCAGTCAGTCAAACTACAGTAACCAATACATAGCAGCAAGCAGGTATAAAAACTTAACTGCCTTCTCACTTCTGAATCACAAAAGGTGCTTAGGTTACCTATTTCCCAGCTGGACCGGGGGCTGTGGAGGGGAAGAAGTCAAGCTATGGGTCTGCATAACAAGTGGTTAACAGAATTAAGATTTATATAAAACAATTTCCTTCCTGTACACATTCTCTAGTCGAAAAATCGTATATCTTCAACAGCAGCTTGAACAAAGGAACCACTGTGACCATCTAGTCGGACTTCTGTATAACACAGGCCAGACAATTTTCCCAAAATAATTCCTAGAGAATCTCTTAGGATGACATGCAATTTTGATTTAAAAGTTACTAGGGATGAAAAATCCTCCACGACCCTTAGCAAATTTTTCCAATGGTCACTCTCTCTCTCACTGTGAAAAATTTACACCTTATTTCCAGTCTGAATTTGTCTAGATTCAACTTCCAGCCACTGAATTATGTTAAGCCTTTCTCTGCTAGACTGAAGAGCTCATTATCAAATATTTGTTCCCATATAGGTAGGTACTTACAGACTGTAATCAAGTCACCCCTTAACCTTCTCTTTGTTAAGCTAAATAAATAGAGCTTCTTGAAACTATCACCCTAAGCCAAGTTTTCTAATCCTTTACTCATTCTCATGCCTCCTCTTTGAACGGTCTCCAATTTATCAACAGACACCAGAGCTCTGGATACAGTAGTCCAGCAGTGGTGGCACCAGTGCCAAATACAGAGGTAAAATAACCTCTCTGGGAAACTCAAGTTTTCCATTTTTATGCATCCCACGACTGCACTAATCCTTTTGGACACTGTCACACAGGAGTTCATGTTCAACTGATTATTCATCAGGATCCCCCAATCTTTTTCTGAGTCACTGATTCCAGAATAGAATCCCCCATCCTGTAAGCATGGCCTACATTCTTAGTTCCTAGATGTACACAGTTACATTTGCCATTGTTTGTTACATTGTTACATTGTTGGCTTGCACCCAGCTCATCAAGTGATCCAGATCGCTCTGAATCAGTGACCTATCTTCTTCGTTATTTACTACTTCCCAAATTTGTGTCATCAACTAGAAAATGGGGGGAAGGAAGGCAGGGGGTTGACTACACTTTTCAAAATCCACTGCTTTCAGCATCTGTGCCAGGGACTGTGGGATACATATTCAAAGTAGTGCAACTAACAATTTCATCAAATACTTTGCTTGGAGGCAGGGCAGAAGTGCACCTTAAAAGAATAGCTGGTGTGGATGCACTGCCCCGATCCAACTTACAGCGCTGCATTTTCAGCAGTGAAATCTGCAGTAGTACAGTTCTTTAGTGTGGACCAAGCCAGGTGAGGCAATAGCAGCAGTTGATTATCATGGTGACCGATGCCTTAGAAATATTTAAGTTGAGAGGAAACTGTAGGAGAAAAAGTAAGGGAAAGCACAACCTGCAAAAATATATTATACAGTAGAGACACAGAAAGAGAGGACAATACAAGCAGGATACCACAAACATGCTAGGGCATGTTGTGAATGGACATTGAGTGGCTGTGGGCTTAGAAAGAGGGCAGGTACAAATCCTTCAGCATTGGCTCCAACCAAAAGAGGTCGGTCTAACCTTTCTGCTGCTCTACCTCTTATGTGTAATTAGATTATCCTGCAAATTAACTGTCACTCAGAAGACTAAACAATGACAATGCTGCCACCTTCAGATTTCAGTCTTTGAATAGTACCTCAAATAAAAGATTAAAACCACAGTGCATCTGCCATAACAAAAAATACATTTGAACTACCAGTCATGTGAATATAATGAAATATTAGATAAACATGTAATTCGCACAATCAGAAATAGATTATATACAACCTATGAGAGCCAGATAAAGTCTAACCAGAAATTACTAAATCCAACTAAACTTCAGTAGAAATTGGTAAAAACTAGACAAATATTTTGCTTGTTCTTAAATTTGACCAAACACATTAAGTTTCAAAGATCACTTCAAAGTTCAATCTCCCACTTTGCTTACACAGAATCATTATTTTAATTTCAAATCAAGCGCCTCGCTTTTAAGTATTTAAGAAAGAATAGCAGGGAAGTAAGAAAATCTGGTAAAGAATCGTGCCATAATCGGAGATATCTACACATGACCTTTAATGATTTTAATTATCTGTGATTTTCATTTCATGCTGCACACTTACCCGATATACTGTAGTGGATGGCTCTGATGTATAACAATTCTACATGTTGGACAGGTGTTATTTTCCTCCAAATACTTCACCAGGCAACTTCTACAGACTGCAGACACATTTATAATTAGGAAGAAAAAACACCTACTAAAACAAGTTCACATTTAATTTCTTTTCAAATGTTCACAAAAACGCAAATTGCATAGAAATAGAAACAGAACTCACACACAATTCAGATTTTGTCCCTTATACTTCATATAAATAAGTTCTAATATACCACTGGATAACACACAATCTCTATTATCTTTCATGGGAGTTCTTAAAACAGAACAATGGTAGATGACAATCAACGTATGAAGGACATATTATGTTATTGTCCTGTTCCTGAACAGGTAAAGCTTACTTCAAAACTATTAGAATACATAATACACAACCCAAAATACCATATGCTAGAAAGAAAGTTAGAGCTGTGGTTGTAAACGAAAGGAAACTTAGCCAAGGAAATAAACTTTGGGCAAAGAAAATATTTCCTTCCGAGAAGTTGCTGTTTAGTGAACATGCAGCTCCTAGCTGAAAAAGTGCATTCAGGTGCTATTTCACCTCAGACCAAATACAACGTACGTTATAATTACAAATATTAAAACAATCATAATAGAGCACTGCACAATAGTTTGCTTTTGGACCTGTTTCAAAGTCTATATACATAATTGTATTCATTTCATTTTACATAAATTTACAAACAAGTTACTCATTTTAACCAAATACTATTAACTGTTTAAAAGAAAATCATACAAAATTATTTACTTGGACAGTAATTGCTTATAGAGACAAGATAGGTGAAAGAGACAAGATTTTGATCTACAAAGAGCTCTTCTTCTGGACTGTGTAGCTCAAAACTTGTCTTTCTCCAACAGAAGTTGGTCCAATAAAAGATATTACTTCACCCACCTTGTCTCCCTAAAATCCCAGGACCAACACAAGTACAACACTGCAAACAGTAATTACTTATGTGATAAATGAATTCCAGCTAAAGATTTTTCTTTTTTCTAATGATTTTTGAGTTACTGAAATTTCTGTGCAAATATAAAGTGGGAAATTTGGGTAAGTGAGCATCTTTCTAATAACTCAGGCTGATTCATTATTTTTACCCAACAGTGCTATAAGAGTTCTAAAGACTAAGTTACAGAGGTATACTTTCTGCAGTTAAACAGTGCCATCTACCTCTCACACAAGTTGATGTATGTTTGAAGAATAATTACAAATCAAAAGCCAAAAGTCAGCAAAGGTGTAATGTATGAACGGATTACAGTATTTTCAGTCATTACATTTAAGATAACATTGTTAGCAGCTGCTGTCAATGACTTAACTAGTAGGACAGCATTCTTATCCTGAACCATAAACCAAGTCTAGTAGCACTGCTCACTGAAGCCCAGATCCTGCAGAAGAATCTGCCTCAGTGGGACTCTACACAGGTGAAGGGGTCCAGACTAGCAGATTCTCATGCAGAGCGGAAGCCCAGGAAGGCAACCAGGAAACCCAAATCCTGCTCTCAATGAGTCAATGAAAGCAGAATCAAACCCATCATTTATAGCTTTAAACTCAATTGTAAGTTTTTTTTCTTATTTTAAACTATAATTTAGAATGTTTATTTTAAAAAGCATCCACTAGAAAATAGCAGTCACTATCCGTTGCAATCTCCTACACTACCTTTCTTACATTTTCATTCCTGTCAGCTTTTTTTTTTTTTTGGTTGTTTATAACCAAGAAATCTATCTTTCCTCATCTTTTATTATCCCTTTGAATGACGAAAATAAAAATCTATATTTGGAGCATAACTTTTCATGACACATTAAGACAGCTTTCATATACATCCTGCCGTCCAAGTATCAAGGTAGAAGATGAAGTATTAAAACAATTTTAACAGAAGCTGCATTTTGTTATTGCCATTGTTAATAAAAAGGCATGAATAGGAGAAGACTGTTAATAGCTACCAAAGCACAGTATCTGTTGGAGTTTGTCCTAACCATGTCATAAGACTGGAAAGTTATAATTACCAAGATACATGTGAAGGAAGAGAGCATGGGAAGAGATGGAGGAAATTTACTTTCCCCATAATTCTCCTCCTCTGGAGGGCACCTTGCAGGGATTCTCACTCTAGTTTTAAGTACCTAGCATGACAGATGGAATCCCTGAAATTCTGAAGGTTTGAGTATCCCCGAAACCAATAAGTAGCAACCAGACATGTGAGCCACCCCACCAGTGCCCATATAGTACCTTGGAATCTTCCAGTTTGGTTCTCAGTTAGTAGAAAACAAAATTAAAGCCAGACACAAAAATAGCATTGATTGAGAGAAGTCAGTGCCTTGAAAGCACGTAATATATGTAAATGTTGCAAATAATCCAACATCTAAAACAGACTCCTCCAAGATAATATTTCCCAAAAGGGAAAATAAAAAAGACAATTTTCCTTCCTCTAAAGATACTTTACAGCAGTGTGTCCTGCATAGAGTGTCAAGGAATATCCCAAAAGACAAACATAGTACTTATCCAACAGCACATGCAATTTGAACAATGCCAATACCAACAAGATTTGTTGTAGTTTTTCAATTATAGTAAGGTAACATACCTCCTGTCACCTGTCCAGCTTAACATAAGACTAAAGGATGGATCCAGAAGTAACAAAACTTTCCAAAAGCACGGACAACACAAATGAACGACATACCTGAAAATATAAAAGCTCGAGGGGCTGGAGATTTGAGCTTTCTTATTTCAGATACAGGTTCTGCATAATTGTCACCCCAAAACAGTATTCTTCTCGAGTCCCAATCCAAGAAATAGTGCTTGGCAAGCATATGTAGCAATGACCATATTTATGCCTTGCCTACATGAACGGAACATGCTTGCCTGCCATGCACATTTCTCAGCTACAGGCAAGCAAAGACTTTCCTGCTTCAGATCGAATGAGCCTTGAAATGACTTTCTAGCCTTAGGTCTGGCAGATCGTTTCTATCAGCCATTTAAACATAGTCCCTTTAATGACAGCATTGCTAAAGTTTGGTACTAGGTGGATCAGCAAAAAAAACCCCTTCAACTCATTCCACCAGGGAGGAATCATTCCAAAACTAGACTGGTAATTCACGAAGCAAAGAGTAGCAGCCACGTACTGGCAACCTCTTCATCAGAGCAGATCCCAGCCTTGGATCATAACATTTCAGGGTTATGGGGCACAGTACAGCCCAGGCCACCTGTACAACCAAGTTCTTGCATTGGGGTGGGAGAAGTAAAAACTGGTATAGGATAGGGTGGCAAGACTGGATGGTGTTTAATCCTAGTACCTCTCTCTGATGGCCCTTATCAACATAATCAGAATAGATAGAAAGCAGAGAAAAACCACTAGAAAGAGACACTGCACCACCCCAAAGCTGGAGGGGATGAAGAGCTAGAGTGGTAATTGAAGAAGAAGTTGACCAGGTGGTTTAAAGGCAAGTAATAAGGTTACTGTAAGGGTAGGGTATGACAACCAGTTTGGGGAGAAGGGACTAGCACTCATGGCTGCTACTGCCTATAGTGTACTCTAGAATTTCAGAGCTCTGCCCATCTCACTCCAGGGTGAGTTCTGAACAGACACAATAACCAGAAAATAAGGTTTGTTTTTTTTCCAAATCAACTTGTTACAATTCAAAGTCCTTCTAGTATTTGTCTTCATATTTTGACGTACAAATTTTCTAACAAGTATTTAGTATGATAATTTTTTTTAACTACCAATATTGCGTATGTGAAAAATCAGTCTGATTATTGCTGTTGAGATAACGACTACTTTTTTAAATCAGTGCAAGATACTTTTTAAAACCACTTCCATTTATTATATATGGTGTCAGCTCTGTGCAACACATCTAGGGCTCATGGTTTTCCTTCTCTTGTTCTCTTCATGAGAATATAATTTTTGCTTACAACGTGAAGTATATAGCAAAATTTGCATTGTTTTGGCAGAGCCACAATAGATTTTTAAACGTCAACTGAAAACTGAAGTATCTAGTATGTGAAGTAAAAAAAACATTAATTTTCTTTAACACGTTATAGAATCATAGTCATACTCACAGGTATGTAGGCATTCTGTTACAGTGGTGGCATCAATAAGGTATCCATTGCAGAGACGACAGGTTATATGGGCATTAATATCCCAGAGTTTAATCTTTCTAGTCAGCATCTTTGGTGTCTATAGAAGAAACACACAATTGTTAGCATGTCAGGTGTACTGATTATGTAGCAAGTCTTGGAGTAACCTAATTACAATAATTTGTATTAAGGATATCAATATGCAACTTCAGGCTCCCAGGCATTTTATGTATGGAATAAGGGTATTATATAATTTTAAAGGATTTACCGGATAAAAATGGGCAGTGAAACAATGTAAGACCTACAGTATTTTGAGGTTTGAATAATGTAAATGAGAAGGATTGGTAATTACTACATTAATATAGCTCAGATTCTGTAAGCAGCTAGAAGGAGTTTGATATTCTGATCTTAACAGTTTTTCTTCTAAGTTATGCCAGCATGTGGCATAACAGAGCTCCTTTACTGATGAAAAAGACTAAATTTTAGGGCCAAATCCTGCTTGTTTTACTCATGTAAGTAATCCCATTCAAGCCAATAATTAAAGTATATGAAAGTGAGAAGAGTGGACCCTGAAGAAAGTTCATCAGAGCACAATATCAAAAGGAGTAGGTCTGGCTGGGTAAAATTTATCAAGTTGTACTTTGTATTTATAGCCTATTTTCCCTATAGTTAAAACTTCACTTCGAAATTGAAGAAAAGTTGTATTTGAATAAAGTGGCTGTAAAGTAAACAGAAATGGTTTTCCTAAAAGCTAAAACTAGGTTCTCAGGAAGAAAAAAAGATGACTTCAAACATAAAATTAGCTCTATACCGACAAAGTTACCTCCTATGAAACTAAGAAATCTGAACTGCATGTGTCTTTCCTTCCAAGGTGAAGGAGATTACAAATACCATAATGAAAGAAAAGGAAGACAGGGATTCTAAAACAGAATAGCTCTTTTCAAACCATTTTTCACAGCATTTCTGATATCGCTGGCAGAGCAAAGAGAAATCTGCAAAAGCCTTTTTAGGGGATGGTACATGCCTCTGATTGTAAACTGGGTAGTGGTGTATTTTAACTAAGAAATAGGTATGTACTTTTTCCTCTTCTGGAATTGCAAGAAAGTCTGCTTGAAATTTTAAGAACTTTGTACTTCACCCTTAAAACCATTTTAGGATGACAGATATTTATCATAGCTAGAAATTAGACTACAGCACGCAATGCTATATAGCTTCCATATCCCTTTACTTCCATAAGCATACAGTAAACAAGCAACATATATGGATTTAGATTTAAATGCTGGCCCCTAGAATATTTTAACACACTAATCTTTTCCAAAATGTCAATACATGAGCACTTAGTGTATAATTTATCTCCTCTGTTGCTGTTAGCTGATCCTCCTGGAAAAATGTGACTTCGTTGCTGACCCGATTGATGCAGGTAGTTTGTTAGCCCCAGCCAAATATTAAGGAGCAAGGATTGGCTCTGTAGAAAGGACCCATGGTGTGAACTGAGCAGCCCACAAACCAGAATATGGGAAGCAACCAAGTCTGAGGAAAACGCTAAATTCTGCTAAATTAAACCAAATTCTGTGCATCATTTTAGTTCCTTTTATTTAAACAGCAGACCCAGAAAGGGCCAAGCTATGACCTGCTAAAATCTGTGTAATTTTAAGCACGGTAAAGAAGCCACCGCTTACACATTCTTGCTGTAAAGGAACATATATTGGTAGAATAAAATGATAGAACTAACATTAAAGCAGGAAGAAAAACTGGTTTTACAATGAGTTACATTCAGCTCCCACACTGCAGGTGTCACCAAACTGCTTTTCAGTAAAATGATTGACAGTGTTTGGTTCAGAACTACAAATTTTAGTTTATTTTTGAATACATTTCATAATCTGAATGAAGTTCTTCAGAGCACGCAAGCTTTCCTATTTGGATACAGCAAGAAGATAGTGTTCAACCTTTACCTTGCACTCTTTGCTTTTTTATTCTTTCCCTCTGTTTAATTCAAGTATGTAATTAAACATGATGGGCCAGCGGAAACCAAGCTTTTGAACCAATAGGAGGAGTAATGGGACTGAAAAAAGTACATTACCCTCTATTTAAGCCACTAAAATGCATTTCACCTCTAGCATTTCACCTCTGTAAAAACATAGCATGTGACATGAGAAAAAACTTGAAGTACTTCAAATTCTTAAGGCTGAGAAGACAAGTAAATGTAAAAAGAAGTGTTGTATGGAATTCTAAGGTTTCATAATTAAATGAAGTAGTGAGTAGCTGCTAAGGACACACTAAAAGTGCATTTAACTTGTGCTGTATAACAGATAGGTCAGAACCTAATTCTGTAGCATAAATTAATCCTTTTTCAATATTCATTTTCTAGCTTAGTTTCCAAGCAACTGAAAGATTTAGCAGTTCATAGATAGTAGGAGTCTCGTTAAAAAGATTGTTGCATAGAAGACAGCTATGTTTACAGAACCCAAAGAGGAGAGACTATTTGTGACTTATTCTTAAAATGATGTACGGTAGTTGGTATAAGTAGTAGCTACTGTTAAACCACTAGATAATGGTGATCACAACAGAATTAGGTTCCACATCTTTGTGGGGGGGAAGGGAAAGAATCATACTGTCATGGTGACAGCCAAACTTTAGAAAAGGGCATTTTAAAAATGATTAAGCTAGCCAAATAAAACCAGTGTAAGTAAACTTACACTTAGCCATACAATAATCAAAGGCACACATATCACTAAACAAAGTAAAAAAGTCTGGTGAAATGGCAAGTTTCAAGAAGTTGATCACGCCAAATAGGAGAGTCACTCAGAAAATGGAAATTCAACACTAGAAGCTCATAGAAAGTATAAATTAGAATAGATAACATGTTAGTTAGGAAGGCTAAGAAGATATTTGAAGGGCAAATAGCCAAAGCCATAAAAACAAATATGACTAAGTATTTTAGTAGGAATCCAGCCAAAGAACTGATGAGTCCACAGAAACAGCAAGGAGTAAACAGAGTAATTAATAAGGATAAAAATACTGGTGAACATTTACTTCTCTAGAGAATGATGGGGGAATTCTTCACATTGTAAAGATGAGCTACTATCAAACACTGAAGGATCAACACAAGTGGTGCCAGAACAATCTGAGCAGTTAGTTAGCAAAAGGCTACCAGGACCAAGTATTATACATCTACCAGGTCTGAAAGAGCTAAAGAATGAAGCAGCTGAGATACTAACAAAAATACGCAACCTCATTAAAATCAGCTATTATACCAGAAAACCAGAGGTACCAAACGTCGTACACCTATATCTAGAAAAATGCCATAGGGGCAAACCTGGGAATGAATTAATAGTTTAACTAACTGGTAGGGGAAGTCTTAATTAATAAGCCCCTGAATGAACAGGAAAGCAGAACAAACCAGCATGGTTTCTGTAAAGGAAAACTACACATCTCCAATCTATTAAAATTCCTTGAGCATATTAACAAACTACAAAACACTGGTTGACAAACTTTCTTAGAACTTTCAAGGAGTCTGGATAACTCACAAAAGAGATTTAAAGCAATCAAGTACTGTGAAATTAAAAATTGGCTAGAGAATAAAAAGAGTAGACATGGTTGTTCAGTTTTCAACATACTGTAGCTGTTAACAGTGGTGTTCCTCAAAGTTCTGTATTACAACCAGTGCCAGATATATTTGTAAATATTTGGAAAAGTGGTGAGCAGCAAGATGTCAAATTATGAAGTTCCCAATTACTTAGTCAAACCTAAGACTGGGGTAGTACAGAGGGAAGGTAGATAAATGGGGACATAATGGTAGATTCAACGTTAATAAATGCATATTAATGCACATTGGAAGGAATAATTCCAACCACTCATATTACTGGGTTCAGTATCACCTGTAAGCACTTAAGCCCAGATTTTACTCCACTCAGCATCACAAGGCTTGAGTCACTTAGGAGGTGTCTGCACCACAATCACGAGGCACAATTGCAGTTTAGGCAGGCATATCCACACTAAACTTAATCTAGCTACTGCTACTAAAAATAGCAGTGAAAATGCAGCAACACAGACCCCAGCACAGATGAGCAACGTGAGTCCTTACCCAGTTTTCTGGGCAGGGTTCTACAGCCCACGTTAAAGCCTGTGATTACAATACTCTTAGGCACTTAGGCCCTATTTTTTATAACTATTTAGGCATTGCTCAGCTCAGCATCACAGTGCCTGACTTAGGAGCCTAAGGATATGTCTATACTACAAACTGCAGTTGACGCAAGCCAAAACAGCATACAGCCGCAAAACTTCGCATATTGCTTAGGCATGTGGATACTTGGCTGCTTGTAGCAGCACTGCACACAGACACGCATTCCTGACGAGCATGTAAATGCAGGTAGGGAATTATGATGTGATTCGACTAACAGAGACTTGGTGGGATAACTTGCATGACTGCAGTACTGTCATGGATATAAACTGTTCAGGAAGGACAGGAAGGCCAAAAAAGGTGGGGGAGTTGCACTGTATGTAAGGGAGTAGTATGACTGCTCAGAGCTCCGATATGAAACTGCAGAAAAACCTGAGAGTCTCTGGATTAAGTTTAGAAGCGTGAGCAACAAGGGTGATGTCGTGGTGGGAGTCTGCTATAGACCACCGGACCAGGGGGATGAGGTGGACAAGGCTTTCTTCTGGCAACTCACAGAAGTTACTAGATCGCAGACCCTGGTTCTCATGGGAGACTTCAATCATCCTGATATCTGCTGGGAGAGCAATACAGCGGTGCACAGACAATCCAGGAAGTTTTTGGAAACTGTAGGGGACAACTTCCTGGTGCAAGTCCTGAAGGAACCAACTGGGGCGGAGCTCTTCTTGACCTGCTGCTCACAAACAGGGAAGAATTAGCAGGGGAAGCAAAAGTGGATGGGAACCTGGGAGGCAGTGACCATGAGATGGTCGAGTTCAGGATCCTGACACAAGGAAGAAAGGAAAGCAGCAGAATACGGACCCTGGACTTCAGAAAAGCAGACTTTGACTCCCTCAGGGAACTGATGGGCAAGATCCCCTGGGAGAATAACATGAGGGGGAAAGGAGTCCAGGAGAGCTAACTGTATTTCAAGGAATCCCTGT